TTTTTTTTTTTGCGTACATGCACTACAAATATATGAGCCACTGCTAATATACGTAACTATATTTATGTGCACTAAATGTCAGCCACGTACCTTTTATAAAAGTGTGTGTTTGGGTTGGTAATTAGCTGGTGACGGATGCACTTGGTGTTTCTCCTCTTATTTGAAATGCTCCGTGTTATTTGGATCTCGCAGTGGCTGATTGCCCTGATTGTGGAGCCGCAAAAGAAATATGTATGTGCTCCTTGTGCTAGAGGATTTGACCAGGTGCTCCTTGTGATGGTGCTCTGATTATGGCTCCTTGTGTTGTGGACTGTAATTATTTGTTGTTTTAATAAACGGCCGCTTGATATCTTGTCTCGGCGGAGATGGACCATGCGAACGCCTTGGGGCAATGTGGATTGGTCGTTGGGGTACACAATATTTCTCCATAAAAGCATCATTATCATAAGTTCGGATCTCCCCTGCCTTACGTTGTGTAGATTTAGTTTGTTTAAAGAACAAAAAGACAGGGAGAAATTTCTTATGTTTGTCCAAATAGGAGATAATAAATACATACCGACGTCTGGAAGCAGCGCTTCTCGACAATTACTAGCGTAGGGGTGAGAATGCTGCGGGTAATGTGTCAAAATCTCATTTAATTGGTAACCACGTTCTAATGCGGCAATCATCAAAAATAAAAAAACAAAAAAAGGAATTTGTAGTACGTATACGCGCTGAGTATGAAGTGTTCATACATAGTCCGTTTTAGCTGACGCACCAAGATTTGGGGTCTGGTAGAGGTGAGTAAAACCACCCATGCCAGGCGATAATCTACCCGATTGTTACGTCCGAAGCAAGTTTGATGTCCATATGTCCACAGCGAGACATACAAATAGGCTGCGCCAAATGTGCGTAGCTACAACATGCCGGCCTCACCCAAGGCTTTTCTGATGACGCGCAATTGATAGACGAACAGCGATTTGCAACGATTCCCTTTTTTTTTTGGTACACTGTATTGCTCTAATAAAGTACTCATAATCTCGGGCCTACAAACTTGGGCAGCTACGCACGCTCAAAATATGGGTATGCGCCACGGGCCACCAGTAAAGGAAGTTGGTAAAACCTAGAATATAAAAAAGTTGTTGAATTCGGGTAAAACCCATTAATTAAAATTTACTATAGAATAATGCACAACACTTACCGTTTTCGCCCTCGTGGTTTTCTAGAATGACATTTATGCCATTCAGGAAAGTTGTAAAGTGTGCCGCTGCTGATACCCAGCGATGGAAAAATAGGTACAATTGTACCCTCTCAACTTTAAAAACTTACGTGGGGTCCACACAAGCTAATGTTGCTCAGACTATACAAATGCAGTCACGTTTTACAAAAAGTAAAACATTTAAGAAAAAATTGGTTTGCGCACGGTGAAGTACATGCAGTACGTAGCCAAATAGCGTTTAACGTCAATTTTCAATTCTAATTTCTTTATTTAGCCAATGTTTGACTATTTTTATAAATCCCTTATTGAATTGTAGAAGCAATCAGAATTGTCTTCTTAAAAATGTGCATAAACACAAAAGATAATTTGCTGGGTGGTACATTCATATACGCAGTCAAAGTTTCTACGCAAACTAGGTACTAAATGTGACTTTCCATCACTTGGTACAGCACAGCGGGGAATATCGGAGACATCCACCGATTAAGAAGTGGCCTGGAGTCAGTGGCTCCAGGTCTNTGAAGTGTTCATACATAGTCCGTTTTAGCTGACGCACCAAGATTTGTGGTCTGGTAGAGGTGAGTAAAACCACCCATGCCAGGCGATAATCTACCCGATTGTTACGTCCGAAGCAAGTTTGATGTCCATATGTCCACAGCGAGACATACAAATAGGCTGCGCCAAATGTGCGTAGCTACAACATGCCGGCCTCACCCAAGGCTTTTCTGATGACGCGCAATTGATAGACGAACAGCGATTTGCAACGATTCCCTTTTTTTTTTGGTACACTGTATTGCTCTAATAAAGTACTCATAATCTCGGGCCTACAAACTTGTGCAGCTACGCACGCTCAAAATATGGGTATGCGCCACGGGCCACCAGTAGAGGAAGTTGGTAAAACCTAGAATCTAAAAAAATTGTTGAATTCGGGTAAAACCCATTAATTAAAATTTACTATAGAATAATGCACAACACTTACCGTTTTCGCCCTCGTGGTTTTCTAGAATGACATTTATGCCATTCAGGAAAGTTGTAAAGTGTGCCGCTGCTGATACCCAGTGATGGAAAAATAGGTACAATTGTACCCTGTCAACTTTAAAAACTTACGTGGGGTCCACACAAGCTAATGTTGCTCAGACTATACAAATGCAGTCACCTTTTACAAAANCGATGGAAAAATAGGTACAATTGTACCCTCTCAACTTTAAAAACTTACGTGGGGTCCACACAAGCTAATGTTGCTCAGACTATACAAATGCAGTCACGTTTTACAAAAAGTAAAACATTTAAGAAAAAATTGGTTTGCGCACGGTGAAGTACATGCAGTACGTAGCCAAATAGCGTTTAACGTCAATTTTCAATTCTAATTTCTTTATTTAGCCAATGTTTGACTATTTTTATAAATCCCTTATTGAATTGTAGAAGCAATGTGCATAAACACAAAAGATCATTTGCTGGGTGGTACATTCATATACGCAGTCAAAGTTTCTACGCAAACTAGGTACTAAATGTGACTTTCCATCACTTGGTACAGCACAGCGGGGAATATCGGAGACATCCACCGCGAACTTTTCCTCGGGCGCCAAATTGGCAGCAACATTGAATGTTCTAATGGCGCCATCTACTGCTAGCGGGCCACATGGCTGAGAGAAAGAAAAACCAATGAACGCACCAAATAACAATAGCTGTGTTTTCTTAGGCAATGGGAACCGAATAAAATTTCTTCACGCAAATGCATCATGATCTTGACGGAGATCTAATTCAATCTATGACTCGTGCTGATTCCTTTGTTTCAATAATAATTAGTAGCACGGTTTGGTAACACTGACAAATGAATCCATAAACAAAGAGATATTTTAGCATCTAGCATCTACTTGATTCACATAAATCGCTTTAGTAAAATCACATTAGTTCCCGTAAATATGCATTTTTCACAGTTGTGTGTGTTCATTTAAATAATTTTCTTCCTCGAGCTAGTAGTATAAAACAATGAGAATGATCCAGATCGGTTCCGTGAGAAATGATCGCGATAATGCCCAAGATAAACGAAGAAAACACGACTAACAATGTGAGGAATTGTTGCATATACCGGGCGCCCGTAGGTGTTGAATACTTCACACCAACCTTTAACGTTCCTGCCACGGCAATCAGACTTGATTTTATCAATTTTGATACTTCCACCGGTGTGGCCTGTGTCAACATCGGCCCCAAACCACCACCAAAGGCCAACTTTTTTGTTTACATTGGGTGGCAGGCCATGCAACGCAAACATTACACAAATTAATAATGACAGCTCACGGATGAGCGTAGATTTCAAAAATCGATACAATTTTATCGCTAGATAATATAAAGGAGCAAACACATTATTCAAATGCTCGGGTAATATCGTAATATTATACACCCCATACACGGCCAATTGAACACGTCAATCATAAACCAACCCCAACATGGGTTTAGAGCGCGTAAGTAGTATATGCCAATTCAAGGTTCTATAATTATATGATGTAATTCTCGCCACCCAACCATAAGTACCATGATATTAAGAATAAATATCAATAATAGCAATGACTTTACGATCGAAACATCGACAAAATAACCATTTTCAGGTAACAATGACTCGTTTCTCTACGTTGAGAAAGAAATCGGAACGCCACGCTCATCGTTACCCGATAGCGTGCCGGCTATGCGAGGGTAAGCACCCAATCCGTCTATGCCCAGTATATCGAGCAAAGACCCCGGAAGAGCGTTTGCGAGAGGTCCTGTTAGGGCGGTTCTGCGGCAATTGCTTGTCGATGACGCATCGTGTACAAAGGTGCACCAGCCGCGATCGATGCCGCCGATGCCATGACAAGCACCATACGACGCTGCACATCGACGAAGAGCCCGTTGACCGGAGACCGTGGAGCCAGCAGGTTGCCAGCGAAGAGGAAAGAGACAACGTACTCTCGATATACGCGTCAGACTCCGGAACGGATTCCCGAACCCGCCGCCCTGAAATCGAAGAGGGCGAAATAATTGAGCCTGTAGCGGAAGCGAATTTTCCAATATCGACGGGGGGATCGGAAACCCGGACTTTCCGACTCCCGTTAGCACATAAAAGGCGACAACATCAACGGGCACCGCAGCGTCGCGGAGCGGAGACTCGGTCTTTCCGCCGGCGATCCATACGCAAAAAGGCTACCGGTCAAGAAGGACAACGGCAACGGGCACGACAGCGCTGCGGAGCGGAGACTCGGTCTCTCCGCCCGCGGTCCATACGCCAAAGGGCTACCGGTCAAGAAGGACAACGGCAACGGGCACGACAGCGCTGCGGAGCGGAGACTCGGTCTCTCCGCCCGCGGTCCATACGGAAAAGGGTTTCCCGTCAAGGAAAACAACGACAGCGCCGTGGAGCGGAAACTTGGACTTTCCGCCCGCGGGACACAAACAACGTGGCCTCAAGACGCGATGAACGACGGGGTGGACTGGTGACTCGGCCTCGCCAGCTACCCGTCGCCTTTAGATCCGGCCAAGTAACGCTAGCCGCTCAGGGCTTGAGACCATTTACGGCAATTTCCCCTACAGCCATAGTAAAGATAGAATCTAGAGGACGCTTACACCTCATACGCGCCTTAATTGATGTGTGCGCGCCAGCGTCTATAATATCGGCTAGTCTGATGCGAGAATTGGGCTTGGAGGAGAGTGGCTTCGGGCACCAACGAAGCTGCATGATTCGGCTGAGAGGAAAACATGGGCAGGGCGCCAGGCTGGCGATCCACGCAGCAGTAGTCGGTAACTACGTGCAGCTAAGCCCTACCGCCAGTGTCGACCGCTCGATAGCCGCGTCATATAACAATATTCGCCTGGCAGACCCGAACTTCTTTACATCGACTCCAATCCGCTTGGTGCTAGGAGCAGACGCCTACCCGGAGATCGTTCTGCCGGGCCCGTTGCCCACGTCCTTCGGCCCTCTCGTGGCTCAAAATAGCATATTCGGCTGGCTATTATCAGGGGCTTGCCGATCTTAAACTACGTATGCCTGATATGTAGTCTCCGTTTTTATACGATACCATTTATTTACTTTTATTCCCAAATGAATTATGGAAACAAACTATTTATTGAATTTTGAATAAATATATACGAAATTTGTGCACTGAAATGTCAAGCCATGTCCTGTTTATTTCATTTTTTCTTCTACAGCCTTAGGAAACCGACGCGCTCACCAAAAAGTGGCAGCTGCGGATCCAGCTTAATGGAAAGAAATAAAGCTAATAAGTTTAGAATAGTTTTTTTTCCACATGGAGGAGTAATGGCTGAATCGCTCGACTTCTGTTGCGTATAGCAAGGGGGCCGGCATGTTTAGGCCTCCACGCTAAACCAAGTAACTAAACGGGTGAACCACCCTAATGTGAGAATGCACTTTCATGTAACCGAGCTCACACACATACATACATGTGTATATACAGGGCCAAATAATTGCTACGCCGTTAGCACATACACATGAATGTCCTTTTACCGCTTGAATATAAAACTTCGTTAAGTTTCCCCTCCAAACAGTTTGTTGCTTGGAGGTCAAACTTAACTGCTCAAGATTAAGCTCGGTCACTTCTATCGAGCACTTCGACCACACCGGAAGCGATCCAGCCACTACTCCTGCGTATTTCTCAAGGTAATATTGTATACCAAAAATCACAAGTCACATTTCACCAATTTGACTAATAAAGCCACTTTGTTATATATTGAATTAATCCGTGGTGTTTGCTTTTGATTATTTCATTTCAAAATTAAACCCTTGGTGCAACTACGAGCGACGTTGCCCCAGGGCGTTCGCAATGTTTTTTTTTAATTAACAAAAAAATACCATGAAAAATATTTTGAATATTGCAAAAAAAGCGATGCAAAATATTTTTGTAAGTGACTGTATTTGGTACAGCAGTAACTGCCTATGTAACTATACAACATTTTTTAAATCACTGTTTGAGATCAATTTAAGATATTATCATTATATTTAAGTAATAATAAAAAAGTTAGCACATTTAAGTAAAAAATAAATATATAAGTGCATCACCTAAACCATTTTGAGCGA